AAAAAAAAAAAAAAAAAAAAAAAGTTTTGATAAACTAATGACCTTGGAAGTCGTTGATTTTGACCAAGGCCATTAATGGGACATGAAATAAAGCAAAGAAAAGAACAGGTAAACACACAGCAACTTGTCTCAATATAATAAATATCACATGGAAGAGTGCATTTAAGATATCATTTTATTCAATATTTTATACATACTTTTATTTTATTAATTACAAATGTAAACCTAAAAAGTTTGAAATTGTTAATAAAAATTATCGTACAATATTCTTATCCCAAAAATATTTTTACCGTCAGTTTTTGGATAAAAATTACTTTCTTTAAAAAAGAAAAATATTTTTAGGTCAGTACAATATTTAAAAAATATCCATATTAGAAAAAAGTTCATAAAAATTATTATAATTAATATATGGACGAACGGTCATAAATTTCTCATAAATTATTGACAAATTTTATAATCAAAATTTTAAATTAAAAATATATATATTTTTTTTTGAAGTTGTTACGAATTTAAAGTTATTAATGAAAATTTTAGAAATTCATACGTATTTTACAAGCGCTTTCAAAAGTCTAAAAAACTTTTTTAAAAGATATTTTTTTAAACAAAATATTAAAAATTTTCCTCTAGGATTATTTTTTAATTATATATTTTTTTAATTTAAGAATACTCAACCTTTAAAATAAAATGCAAAATCTAAGAATATATTTATTAAATCAGTAAAATGTTAAATTTTCGCTTGCCATTATATTTAAAAGATAAGATATTTACCGACATGGTCAAATAGTTTTTATCCGACACTAACATGAGCTTAAATTTTAGATTGGTTTTTGAACTTTCAATTTAAAAAAAGAAATTTAAAAGAAAAAAAATCTAAGACATGTTTTTTAATCATAGAGCTTTGACGCCAATAATTGTGATGCGTGCTCACCAGCAAACTCGATTCATGTCGTTAGCATTTATCCTGATTAATTTTATAGAAAACGGTTCATATTTAATATTATTATAAAAACAAAAACAACCATATTTTACATATATTTACAATTAAGATTTAGGTAGGATCTTTGAAACCTCCAATTCAACCTCATTATCGTTTCGATCATATTTCATTTCGTCTTTCGTTTATCTAAAAAGAAAAATAATTTTTGAGAGTCATTAATTTACTTAGTAAGTAACTAAGTTACATTAATTATCTTTTTAGTATATTTATGTTTTATAGTTTAACCTTCCATGGGAAGGTTTTTTTGTTTGGATCAGATCCTTAGTCAAACCCTTCTCTCGATTCACAAGCTCATTTTCTAGTTTCCAATGAAATTTTGACTAACGTTATAGGTTTGAAGGTATCTTAACTATCATGAACATTGAATGCGGAAGGACTTTATTTAAATTCCATAAAACATAACATTTAACTTAAAACACAGTCATGGACTTACGTGTTTCGAAAACATCTTTAAAACGATACAACAAAAGACCCGAAATAAAATAAATAAGCGTTTAAGTTTAAAACATCCTATTCTAGCCTAAGTCTAAGAAAATAAATACCACTATTCTATGCATGTGTCATGATCTCGAGTTGCGATGCCGTCGTCAGCCGTATAGGAATGCCTTGCCTTAACCTTGAAAAATGTAGTAGCACATGGCTTGAGTATTTAAAGAAATACTCAGTAAATGACCCCACTATTGGGGTTAAATGCAACAATCACATGCAATGAAATGATGGGACCTATCTTTTGTTTCGTTTCGTTCTCCCTACGGTGCTGTCCTAATGGGTAATCGTGAACGTCTACCATGTACTCTACACACAGCTCATACGTGCGAGTATGGGCTCACCAGCTAGTTCGCACACCGCTGGGCCACTTTCCTTATCCGGTGGGCATACTCTAGGAGCCCCTTATGCCGGGACCCGTTAAAACTAGAACCATCATGACAGCATTATGCAAAGCATAACAATCATTGTCCTGCCATTGGATGTACGCGTCCGTACCCTCGTGATGGGATACGGGTATCCCCCAGATGCATGAACACACATAATGCATGAGGTCCCCACTACTTCTACAATTTCATTATCCTTTAATATAATCCCGCTAGCATTAAGTACATATCATATCATTTTTCATATCGTTTTAGATATCGTTCATCATTCATATCATATCGTTTCTCATTCTTCCGTTCTCAAATCATACATAATTCTAACGGAGTTATATTTCATGTCATTTATAGTAATTTCATGTCATTCATATCATGTTGTATACACACAATTTAATAGACCTAACATAACGTTCTATGCTTTTAACATAACATTTCATCATATACACATCATACCATGACATATTGCATCACAATGTATCATATCATAAACAAGTAATAACGTAAACACTTCATAGTCATATCATTCTCTAACTTATCATAGCTTTAACGTTCTTATACCTATCACAGACATATCATTACGTGAACGTACTTTAGTCATATCATCATAAGAACTTAACCTAACGCTATCGTTCTATCAATCTATCACAAACCTATCCCTTTCTACCCGTAACCTAACCATATTCTTCCATCAATCTCTCTTATTCATATCACTCCGGTATGTGACGTAACCTTAACGTTTTGTGAACGTATTTTACTCCTATCGTTACATTTCATCTTGTGCATCCTTCTTGTATCCTATCTCAAACATATCCTTGAACACATCATACAGTAACTATTATCATACCATTCACATATAATAACATATACATAACATATAGGAAGCATATCGATCCATAAACAATTCACACATATCAATATATATGCCACGTGCAGAACCACAGAGCACGTGTCAACATCAAAATATAACCATGCCGATAGTAAGGTCA